TTTAGTGTTGAAAAAGGCATCAGGTACCTGCATCTTCCCTTCTGTGTTTTTCTTCTAGAAGAGAGATTAATTCCAGTATCCTTAGTGAGTTCTACTACGAGTGGTTCTGCCTATATAAATTCTACTTACAGTTTCAACTGGATAAATTATTTTTCAAATCTGTCCAAAACCACAGGGAAGACAATCCTCATGTGATCAAAACTCACATCCTCACCCTGTCTTCTGGTGTTATAAATTGTAGGTATTAATATATAATAGGGATGAAAGGAGGAAGAGGTATGAGCTGCCCTAGAAGAGGCAGCCATAGACTTGTAGCATTGTGGGAAGTAGGACCTCATGCAGCAAGCTTTTACAGGACAGAAGGGAGCCAGTAAGGGAACCCGAGTCATTGAGCTGCCCAAATAGGACAGGTATGAAAGTGCTAAGAGGAAGATCTAGGTCTGTGAACTTCCAAAACAATCAAATGAGTCTGCACACTTTGCAATGCTTATTCACACCAAAATTCACAGGCTTCTGCAGTTCAACAACCTCCAACCAAACGAAGAGAGTTTTATACCAAGTAAAATGATCCACTGATGTGTAATGCATGGAACTGTCACTATTTTGTCATGACTTCGAAACATTCTTCTATTCAATTATTTTTTTTGAATAAGAGAAGCTGCCAGGAGAGATAGTCTACCTGTTGTATTAACTGGCGTGTCACTTACAAATCAAGGTAATTAGTATGCAGTAGGCTAGTATGTGAATTTACACTACTTTGCACTAACTCCTGAGTGAGCTACATTAAAAACATTAGCACGGGAAATCGGTGCAGAGTAGCTAGTTTGCTATAAAATCAAATTCAAGTTTACTGCACACTAACCTCCTGATGTACAGAAGCCCTAGAAATGGCAAACTCCAAATTATACTTGAAATTCTTAGCATTCTCAGGTACCCCAAGTGTTATCAGCAGTTTCTAAAATGGCTACTTTTGAGACAAAACATAGTTATGGTGAATATCTGGAAACTGAAAGCTGAGAAAAGAAGTCCCTAGTACAAACCTAACTATTTGCTAAGAAGATTTACCAGAATCTCAAAAGAAGAAAGGTAAAACAACTGTCTCCAAAAAAAAAAAAAAA